AGATAAAGATTGTAGAAAATCTTGGATCTGTTTACCTACTTTCAATTGGTTTTGAATTATAAGTTTATTAGAGCATGCAATGACTGTGTTAGGGCTAAGTGCGACATGTTCGTGTCACACAGTACATTTTGTTTACATCTGTGTCTACACGTACATACGTAACATACTTGTTATGCATGTCCAATGAGGATCATGGACATGTACAGTGATTCATGGTGTGTGTCTATATAACATTGTGAAACCCGTGTATTCAAACTAATTGGACAATGAGACCCATGCATGTATATATGTGTGTGTCAATTAATTATCATGTGAACCACAAGGAGTTGCGAATAAGCAAGTGAAGCTCCAATTGCGGTCCAACATTGCAAGAACATAAAGACAATTCAAATGGACGGTTTTAACATGTTCCTGGGAAAGTGTTTCCCCAATTCAGGATTAATTCGAACATGTCTCATTAAGTTTTAGCATGTTGATTTTGATGGTTCCTTGAATTTTATTAGAGCATGAATGAGGGTTGTCTGTTGAAAGTCGTTTTGATGTATGGGGCCACAACATGACAACTTCCATTTTTGTTGATCTGAATCCTCTTATTAATGTAACTTGTTGCATGGCTGTCTCTAGCTTGTCCCCCAAGGTTAAAGTTCTTAAATCACAATGGTTGTGTGTATTTTAAGGATCAAATTCATCTCCGCAAAGATAGGGGTGTGAAAGATAGATACATTGAAAATATTCGTAAGGTTATGTAATGCTGAATTGTGTGACACATACATGTTGCGGTTAGACTTAAAATGTGCTAGGTCTAAACCCTAATATCTTTGACTTCTTTACCCATTATTAAGTATCAATTTTTAACTCGATTGGATACTCTGACCTCAAAAATTCACGTGCTCAAATCAATTGCAATGCAAATGCCTCACACATTGTAATCGGCCCTCAATTTATTTCACTAATTATTAGTTACAAATTGACACGGTAATATTTAATTCATCGTGAATAACTAATGTTTAAAGTAATTTCAAGACAAAAAATAAATGAAACACAGTCATAACAGTTGGGGATTTTAAAAAGAATAATGCTACCTTTTCCATGTTTAAAAAAATAAATAAAACACAGTCATAACAGTTAGGTAAGTGTAGCAATACTCTTTTAAAAAAGTCGGTGTGTCTACGTCATCTTGCGGTCGCATCTCAACAGTGACTACAGCGTGACAACATTAGCGTACAGCAGAGAAGAGAAAATAAATAATAATAGAGTACAAGGAGAGGGGCAGACTTTGCCCAAACAAAGAGAGGAGCAGCAGACCCACGTGGACGGCCTAGTAGAATTTAGCTCAGGCTGACCAAGAAGTCAAACACCCAGGCTCAGGTTGACTATTTGTCTTCTCCAGTAAAACTAAGGAAACTGATTCGTTAAGCTATCCAAATTCAAGTTGGGTCCAAATTCTAATTCAATTTTGACATAAATATATATTAACAGACAAGTTGGGTCCCACTTTTGTGTCTATCCATCCAATTCTACATAGGGCCACATAGAATGCTCACCTATGTTGATTTTTTTACCACCTCAGTTGTTTTTTTTACATCATGGTGATACTAGTTATGTTGTGGATCTTAATATATACCAATCTCCCATGAAATTAAGAATATAGAAAGAAAATATATATATATATATTGGCAAATTAAACCCTATTTTTATGAATCGGCTCCACAACTCGTGCAACGATTAAATCAAAGCTCGCAAAATAAGTAGAAGTCAACATAATAATGTTTGAATTTACGGTTCATTTTACAGTTGTTTTGGCAATCAAACTCCATTAAAGTATAAAGAAACTAGTCTTCCTAGAGTTAGTAGAGTTAGTTCAATATTGCAGAACACGCATTTTGATAATTCTCAAAACCCCTTCAATCAATCTATGGTTCAGCCCACCGATATCAGTACTGGAGATGATTAATTTCTAACAAGAGGGTGAGATTAGTTAGGAATTGCCTCATTCTGGATGGTCAGTAATTTATAATACCTAATTAATCTGATCCAGGTCACTTTTATTTATACCCAATAGACTTGCTAGGCTTTTTACCCGTGCTACCTATTAAAAAAAGTCCATATAATTTTCCTGAGGGAGACATTTGAATTGAGTATATTAAATACGTAAAAGCTTCTCACCCACCCATCAAGCTGCAAAACTTGTGCTCCAACCGGAGAAAAAAAAGCGAAGAATGCCAGATGCGATCTTTGTGTCCAAACACTAATAATAGTGTTCCTGATCTTTCCTTTTCAACTTTTACTTCGCACTATTTCACAAAGCAAATGCAAAGTTGGACACTCCATTACTAAGCTTTTGTGTTTAATTAATCTCTCAAGTCTGACTTAGCAGTTGGATATTTTCAAAAGAAAAGTAATATATATATATATATATATATACACAATTATTTCTTATATGGATCGTGCGGATGCTATTGTAAGCAGGCAAGAAAGTATGAAGGGGTAGTACAAAATACATTGTGTCTCCGCACGATAATAGCGTCCAAATGTCCGTATGGGAGAATTTTGTATATATATAAGGGCATTCTCCAATAAGTATTAAGTTAAGGATTGGTTACATACTTCTAATATCAGCTGTTGGATTACATCTAAGAGACTACTGACACATTTAATGAATGCAATTCAACGAACAAGATTAGAAATATGTAACCAGTCATTAACATAAAATACTTATTAGAGAATCTCCATATATATATATCACAAATTGTTTTTGCATGCACCTAGCTAGGGTTATCAACTTTGTTGTGATTCGCCCCAAATGTGAGTCATATTAGTTGGTCAATGTAGTGTGTCTGTTCCTTGGCACTCTGGTTCGATCTCCTTCCATATACATTAGAGTAGTTTAAATATCGGATTGTCAAAACAAAAAATAAACTTTGTACATAAAATCATATATGGATTTAAAGTTTTAATAACGTGCCATGATGTTCCACAAAGTTACATTACTCATTGTGATGGTCGGTTATGAGATTTTGAGGACCCTGTACGAAACTTAAACGGAGACCCTCACATAATTTAATACGAAAATAGTAAAAATAATAAATTTCCATAACTTATGTCATAAAACAATTATTTTTATATAACTAAAATTCATCATCAACAATGGCACAAATTGTGAGTCGTCTTTATGAATTTAGGAATTAGGATATTCATGTTTTGGTGTTGAAATTACTAAATTTGAAATAAAAACAAAAATTCTCAAATAATTGAACAAAATAGCCAAAGAGAGATTGATGAATGATGATGATGATTTTTTTTTTTTTTTTTCCTTTTGGTGTTGATTGGAGGTGAAAGCGTGAGGGTATATATACTGATGGCTTTATATATATATATATATAAATGTTTTTACAAAGAATAAAAAAAGTTAGTAAAGAATAAAAATGCATAGCCAAAGACTTTATTTCTTCTCGAAAATGTCTTAAATGAAGAGAAATGCGCTTGTAACCAAACCAGCCAAACACCCGTTTGTGTCAATGTGCTGCTGCGCTAGAGTATATATAAAATATATAAAATATTAAAATATACAATTTACAAGTAAGATATTTTTGGGGGCCCTAAAAAATTGGGGGTCCTGTGCGGTAGAACCACTTGCACTACCCAAGGACCACCCCTATCATTGTAAGATTATAACATGTAAAGTTTTTGAGTCGGAAAGTAATCGGTGACATGCTAAATTCAAACTATACTAATACGGACCAAGCCAATACATACATACACATGGCAATCACAAATGAGTATATCCAGTACCTAGCCACACACCCATATTAACGAAATGTGAAAGGGATGGTTAAAATCAAGGACCAATAAGAGTGACAATTTCCCCTAAAGTCAATAGACAATTATCACTTTTAGTTGGTGCTACACTACTTTTGGGTGTACATGTTTATTTTTCGGATCTAAATTTTTGAAATTTGTACATCCCTGTGGACTGACAAGAGGCAAAACCCCCAACAGACTGCGTTTAATTTAAGTAGCTTTTTGGGACCGCGTGAAGAAGCGATTTTGAGATGTGGCTTAATTAAAAGTCTTCCCAACTATACGGGAAGTAAATGCATTCTCTCATAACTTTTAGAAATGGAGTAAATGTGATGCAAACTGAGCTCATTAACGCGGAAACCAAAATAGGAAAAATTTGTAGGACACTTTGAAACTAGAAATTGGAGTCTGACAAGAAACCGTGGAGGAAAAGGAAACCTAGAGGAAAATTGTAGTGCCCTTTAGATTTTGAGACTTTCCTACATGTGTGAGTCTTGTGCATTAACTTCTATTGGTGCATAAGTCCAAATACAGGCCAAATTTAAAATGTTCTCATGTACAAGCTGGTCAACACCGAAAGCTTTCTTCTATCTCATGGTGCTTTCAGGGAAGCTTCATTGCTAGGAAGAACACAACCAACCACACATCAATTGAAAGAAGAAAAAATATATATTAATACTAAGATTCACTAAATATGTTCATCATATGTGTGTGTCTAAGGCGTTAAAAAATAAGATTTAGAGTGGGTCGGACTGTGATTTGAAAAAAAATATATCATTAATATTTATTATGTGGAACGATAACACCAAGTGATATATGTAAACTGAAACGAAGTTCATGGAAAAAATAATGAGGACCACCAACAAGCACACTACTGGTGTACACGTGGATATGGATGGATATCAACGTACAACACGCAAGCAATTACGCCCATTGACCAATAACAACACAATTAAATTCTGTTATTTCTATTCTGGGAGGTCGGTTTTTTCCAAAGTTGAACTTTGAAAAGAAAAAAAAAACCTTTGAAAACTTTTACTTCCCCTCCTACTTGCGAATCTGCCATCGCCTATAAATTCCCTAGTTCCCAACACCATCTCACCCATTGCCCCCACAATTGATAGCTTGCTTGCTTGCAAACCTCACTAAAAATTCCACTAATATTATTCTTGTCTGTGAATATTCTTTGGAACAAGAAAATGGGCTCTTCATCAGCAACGGCGAATCGGTTTTTACTCTCCAAGATTGCAACCAGCGAGGGCCATGGTGAGAACTCACCGTACTTCGATGGTTGGAAGGCGTACGATAGAAACCCATTCCACCCAACGAAAAACCCCGAGGGGGTTATTCAGATGGGTCTTGCAGAAAACCAGGTTCGCTCTAGAGAAATTTGGAGATGGAGCAAACCTATATTTATATGTATAAATAACAAAATGCATGGGTTTTTACTTTTGTTTTGGTTTTGGTTTTCAGCTTTCCTTCGACTCGATCGAAGACTGGATTAAGAAAAACCCCAAAGCCTCCATCTGCACTCCCGAGGGAGTTGAGGAGTTCAAGAACGTGGCCATCTTTCAAGACTATCATGGCTTTCCCGAGTTCAGAAAGGTATATATATATGGATTATGATTAGTATACCTTTTATTTACATGAGTTAATTACATGGTTTTAATTAATATATTTTTCAGGCTGTGGCTATGTTCATGTCCAAAGCGAGAGGTGGTAGAGTCACATTTGATCCGAACCGGGTTGTGATGAGCGGTGGCGCCACCGGAGCGAACGAGCTGGTCATGTTCTGTCTAGCCGACCCCGGCGACGCCTTCCTCGTCCCCTCTCCTTACTATCCAGCGTAAGAATTAAATCCTTTCTATTTTCTACATTTGTCTATATGAACTTGTGTTTTAGTTGTTTACGTACTTAGCTAATTATACCACGTACCCCCTCTGCCAAATATTTGAGAATTCAGGCAAAGCCTTGCGTTACCTCAAATTTGGTGGACCACGTGTTCTTAATATGTGGACACAATGCAGTAGCTAGTAGTTGTATTGTAGGTCGAAGAATTTGGTAGAAAACAACTTGTTCAGGTTGAAATCTTAAATATATTTGGGATTTTATGTCGGCAGTCAACTGGTCTCCAAGATACAGAGACTTTAAATATCTAAGAAACAGTAATAATTTATTTTTTAATAAGTATTTTGGTAAGAGAATTGCCATATCAGGAGACAATTAGGTCGACCTCCCATAGACTTTAATTAGTCGGCTAATAATAATATTTATCAAACTTGCAGTCATTTAAAAGTTGATTAATAACTAATAAGAGTATAATAATATTGTCATTAGTTGCTTTTGACTCCATAGTTGACATTCAAGACTCCAAGCAATACGCATCAATAAGATTAGTCTGAGTAGTTTACAGCTGGATGTTTGGGCAAAATTCCAAATTCGTTCCTTTCTCATCTTTCTGAAAAGTCAGTCTTTATACTAGAATGTCAAACCCTACAATTCTCTTCAATTTCCATTCTCGTCGTACGTATAGAAATAAATTGCTGACCAAACTCAAAGGAAGTTAATTAGTTAACCACTAAGCGTTAATGAAATGTTAATTACAAGTCACTAAGCTAGTTTTTCTTCATTAATCTTTCAATCAGTTTCGGTCATAATTAAGATTTATACATCTAATTGCAGATTTTTTAGAGACTTGGGATGGAGAACTGGCGTCCAAATTGTCCCGGTTGATTGCGATAGCTCCAACAACTTCAAAATAACCAAGGAAGCACTTGAAGCAGCCTATGAAAAAGCCCAAAAGAACAACATCAACGTGAAGGGCTTGATCATAACAAACCCATCAAACCCATTGGGCACCACCTTGGACAGAAACACACTGGAAAGCCTTGTGGAATTCATCAACCAAAAGAACATCCACTTGGTGTGTGACGAAATCTATGCAGCTACAGTGTTCAGCTCCCCGACTTTCACATGCATCTCCGAGGTCATACAAAACATGAATTGCAACCCCAATTTAATCCACATTGTCTATAGTTTGTCCAAGGACATGGGGCTCCCGGGCTTGAGGGTCGGCATAGTTTACTCATACAATGATGATGTGGTGAACATCGGCCGCAAGATGTCAAGTTTCGGGCTGGTTTCGTCCCAAACTCAACACATGCTCGCGTCGATGCTCTTGGATGAAGAGTTTGTGGCAAGGTTCCTGGAGACAAGCTCCAAGAGGCTCGCAAAGCGGCACGGGGTTTTCACAAAGGGGCTAGAGGAAGTGGGAATCAACTGCTTGAAGAGCAATGCCGGCCTTTTTTGCTGGATGGACTTAAGGAGGCTGTTGGAAGATCAAACATTTGATGGTGAGATGGTGCTTTGGCGTGTGATTGTGAATGAAGTGGGCCTCAATGTCTCGCCAGGGTCTTCTTTTAAGTGCGTGGAGCCTGGTTGGTTTAGGGTTTGCTTTGCAAACATGGATGACGAGACTCTGGAAGTTGCACTCAAAAGGATCAGAACATTTGTACGCCAAGGGAAGAAAGCTCAAGATCAAGTTGTACAAGTTAAAAGCCCTAAGCGTTGGAAAAGCAATCTGAGGCTTAGCTTTTCATCATCATCAACCAGAAGATTTGATCAAGAGAGTGTTAATGTTTTGTCACCACACATGATGTCTCCTCACTCTCCTCTCGTTCGAGCCAAGACTTAAAAAAGTATAAGGGGGTTCAGTCAGATTACTCATTCAATGTGAGAATCCGTATTCTTAGAAGTTTATTTAGAAAGGTCAAAACATTTTATTTTTTTAAAAGCAATTGCATTGGAAAGTATTAAATTATGATAATAATTACATTGGAAAGTATTAAATTATGATAATTATAATTGTTGTACTTTAATAATAAATTATAATATTATAATCATTTTATGGAAGTCTATGTTTTATTTAATTGTTTTTTTTTTATGGTTTTGATGATATTCTTAAAATTTTCTTTTAATATTTAAATTAGTAAATGGCAGTAGGATTTTGTGTATGGCTATCTACTTAGAATATTTCATGCATGGCTATGTAATTGAGTTATTTTATATGCTCCACGTAGTTAGCATGTGTCAATCAATTATGCAAATTACTTGCATGGTATTCAAATTGGTTTACTAGTTTTATTTACTTGCAAACTAATGAGATATCAACGAAATAAATGTTGAGTCATCAATACGTGTCCTCATGATATTTCTTCTTATCCTTCTTTGACTTAGAGTGAAAGAAAAGCTACTTGGGCTTTAAGAAATAAGGAGCTGATCTTTAAACATTGAAGTTATCTCATAGCTACCGCCCTTGGAGTCCTATAAATACAACATTTGTTCTTCAAGTCCCATTTCCCTCTTTAGAAAAGTGTTAGAGGCGATAGAACGAAGAAATAAAATAGCAAGTGAGAGAGAAATAGAGGTAGAAAGAAGTAGAATTGTCAAGAAAAAAGAGTGGGAGACTGAATTTGTGAATGTGGTGGAAAATTGGGAAACACCTTACATTTCTAACAAAAGCTTTGGTGTCAAGGTAGGGGATTTCTTGGGGGTCATTTACAGAGATTGATTTAATTAAATTTCGTGGGCATTATATTATGCATGGTATTACAGTTTGGTTGACATTCCTTGTTATAGGGTGTTTACATATTCTTAACTATTTGAACAATGTTGGCATAATTATTTATACATTGGCGATGTTTTAAATTGTTACATTCTTGTAAGATATATAAGATATGTGAAAGACATAATTATATCATGTCATGGAAATTGGCTGGAATTGTTGGGTTGAGAAAATAATGATGGAAAAGAGGGTAATGGATATGAGCTTTTGTGTAGTTAAGTCTAACTCTTGATAGGTACCAGATCTCAGGGATCCCACAGTGCACATGATTTTTATTGGGTGATACGAGACTGATGACAAGGAGTTTGACAAAATGACTAAAAAAATGGAAAATTATGGGATGATTGATATGCGTGTTAGTTCATATAAATGGACATTTAGGATCAAATGGTATAAGCATGGTATGAGACGTGCAGGTCTGTTTGTCCAATTATATGAATGAATGGGATTATATGAAGAGCATTCATGCATTAATATTAATAATGTAATATTTGGCTGTGTGATTGTGTGTCACTTAATTCAGTTATATCGATTTCATGTAAAAATGTTTATGTCCTTACTAAGTTGTGGTTTCGCTCACCCCCTAACAGATTTTGCAGGTACTGAACCTGAAATCTAGAGCTTGTGATAATTTCGGCATATCTATAGAGTGTATTGTATACATAGCTTGTGGATGAATAATGAGCTACTCTTTTAGTGAACTCTTGAGTAGTTCTAACTTGTAAAATAATATAAAAATTTTATGATTTCAGATATTGTCGTTTCTGCTGAATATTCTATATGAAATATTTATTTTATTTATTTAAATTCTTCACATTTTAGTTATAATTTTTATTAAATTCTATAATTAAGGTGTGAATCACATCTTAATCCAAGATTACGTAAATCTGTGGGTTAGGGCGTGACATTCAGCCTATGTGCTAGCTCCAGTGTGTGCATCTAATTGATGGTTTAGAAAAATAATTAAGGTTTGATTGTGTTTTTAATTTTGTTTTCAACGTATACCATGGTAGTTTTTGCCCTTTATAATGACTATTTGGGTGCTGATTAATGCAGCCCTGAAAAGTTCTTTTGGATTAAGATCAATGTATTATATTTGTAGGTTGTCCAATTAAATTGGACAACTTAACCCTAGCTAGAATATACTTGGATATATGTGTAATTAATTCAAGTGATGAACTGCTTAATTAGAGAGTGATTAAAATATTAAGTTTGTCCGTGTAGGATTAATTTGGCACTTTGTCAACCACTATCATGCGCATGCATGCTGTGTGACTTTGGAAGCTGAACTACACATGATGTAAAGCAATTCAATTATATATATCTACTATCTAATAAATTATAGAATATTACGTTAGTATATTCATGTATCAGTACACGTGTTATTCTCTAATGGGTTTCTTTAATACAAATTTATAAATAAACCCAATCCTAAACATGTATTTATAGAAAAACCCAAACACTATTTAAACATAGAAACACACCCAAAATCAACCTCAAAGTCAACTTTTTGGGTGTATTTATAAATGGATTTTGAGTGTGTATAATGATGGGTTTTTGGTGTGTTTATATGTTTAAATAGTGCTTGGGTTTTTTTATAATTTAAGCTCCCATTTTGGGTGTTTTAGTGAAACTCCCTTTCTTTAATTAGCTAGCTAGATTATATTTAGTTAAATTAGATGAATTGGTGATGGATAAAGGCCAATACGTGACATCATAGCCATATGTTGGATGTGTTGGGCACAAGGCATTAAGCATGACAATCCAAACCGATTAATCATGGCCATACATCATCATCGTCATACATTAATAAAAATATTTTTATATAATATATGATGATAATGCTGCATGTTTAATTGATGACTCAATTTGAGAAAACTCCAAGTCACAATGACTCATTGCATATTGTTAAAACAGATTATATCACATAAATCAAAAAGCTTGATTATATATTATGATACATACATACAAACAAATTAATTTGTTTTAATTAGTCCATATACATAATGGGCATGTGACAGCCCCCGCACCATATTACAATTTTTTTATATATAATATTGTAACTTGTTTTGTATTCCAAATAAATAAAATGTCTAGTTGGATGCCACTCGTAAGTCTTTCTGATTTGGAGTTGTGCATATGTCTTGGCGTTGGTGGTGAGAATAGCCAATCCCCCCTTAAACTTTTTTTTAATATAAAAAATAAATAAATAAATAAAATGGTCACTATACATACTGTGAGAATGTGAAGGTAAAGAGTCCCACATTGGAAAGTTGAAAAACTTAGAAAGGGCTTATAAGAAGTTGGGTTACTCCCTCCATTGTCAATTGGTTTTTGGGTGAAACCTCAACTTCCTTCATGGTATCAAAGCAGATTGCCCACGTGTGAAAGCCCAACGACCACACGTACTCCACGTCACCCAAAATATGTTGTCCACGTATTAAGCTTAAAAAATTCGTCACACGTGTAAATATGCTTCATTTTTATTGTCGCAAAGGTCAGAAATTTTCACCTAATTAATTAAAGTGGTGGAAGGTGAACGACATTTGGCATATGGTATAAATATTTGTTGGGTTTGATTTGGGTTGATGTGAACCAAAGTGGAACGTAAATCTGAGGTCATTTTCATAGGTGAGCCAGGGTAGGGACATGTATTTATTTGTTTTTTATTTTATTTCTGAACCGAAAGGGTTTTTCCTTTATGTTTCTGTACACCTATCCATTGATGGCTTTAAGATCCATTATTTTTTTGAAAAGGTTGATTTCATTCCATTAGAAGGGAGGAATAAAAGGCATGTAGAGTGTGGCCTCGTTAAAACCTTCCCGGAGAAAACCACAAGGGAAAAACCCCGGGGTAGGAAAGAGTACCACATATGCCAAAAACGTACAGAACAAGGAAAATTACATAACATCAGAAAACAAAACATCCTGTAAGAAAACTGGGGGATCAGTAACCCATTCTGCTGCTTCCTGGGAATGCAGAGCATAGTGAGCCACGTCTAATTTTGCCACATGCTCTCATTGCTCCACCTCCACAAAATCCAACCTTATTAATTGTGTGTTAACCTTTTCTAGCCGTCCAACTGAGTGTTGTTGTTTTCTTTGTGATGGTGAAACTATACCCAAATGGATTCTCTTATTTTAGTATTGATATCTCCTTTGACACGACTCATTTAATAAACAGATTACATAGATATTTTAGCATATTGACGGATTAACTTAAAATTCATTCATTTATTAAACGAGTCATGATGAATTTATCCAAAAAATGATCCAAAATTTTAATTGAATGAATTAACCCACTAATTTTTCGTGTAGATTTTGAATCGTATAGAAGATTACCACCCCACAAGATGTCCAGATTCCTCACGTGACTTTGTGAGTGTGCTTATCTTTCATGAGTTTTAATATATGCGAATTTAAAATTCCATAATACAAACACTATTAGAAAACTTCATTATAAGGCCCTGATATAATGTACGTCAAAGGAAACAAAGAATGGTGGGTGGGGAAATGAGTTATCGCACAGATATTGTATATTTTCTTTTGTTCGGAAAATAGTTATTGCACAAAATATATATTATGCAAAAACCAACTTATATGTAGAAATATAATGGGAATAATTGTAAGTACACTATTTATAAGAATCATTGACGTACGATGGACACAATATTGTTTCCAGCTACAACAATTTTATTGTACATTCTGAGTCACTGATGATAAGGCTGGCTAGTCTTGGTCCTTTACATCCAAAAATATATATATATATATATAGTTATTGTTTGTGTAAGATAAGTATTGATATGAGGATGGTGGTTGTCAATTTCACAAAGATTAGGACAACAATTTTTTTGGAGGAAATCGAACTCTTAATGACAACTTAATTCTTCACGTGAAAAAGACATCAACCTGTGTAATAGTCACAATTAAGTGTCATTTGATTCGTATATAACGATGAAAGTAATTCAATGGCTCAACGAAAGCTAAGTCGTGTAAGTCATTTTCAAATGGATTTAATTCTATGAGTTGTTTGTTAGTGTGGTGGACATTGGACAATAGATGAGAAAAAA